CCTGGAAGGACCACACCATTTCACAACGCGCCATCTGAACTTGCCCACATGGGAGAGCAGGGTGGAGGGCCCTGGTTCCTCAAAGGTCTTAATTAGGAGGCCGTGGGAGGACCTTGCCTCAGATGGTCCAAAGGTAGCCTTATAGGTTTGCCCAGACTGAGGAGGCAGCACCAGGAGAAGCTAAGGGCAGAGATGTGAAGCCGCAGGCACACTATTAGAAAGAGAATCTGCTGAGATCCAGGACAAAGAGATTCCCCAGAGAAAGGACTTGGAAGGCAGCCATGGCAAGACAGGTCAGTGGCTGGTATGAAGGTCTGTGTGACTTTCCAAACTTCCTTTCCCTGTACGACCTCCCGCTGTCACAACCCACCCTGCATCCGTCATGGTCTTGTTTACTTATAAAAGGAACACATGTATGCACGCATGCATGAATTAACGAGAGAGATGAGGATATTTCAGGCCTAGTGACACTGGTTGGGAAGACTGGGGAAGAGTATGAGCTTGATGAAGTAACTTAGAAGCCCTCAGCGCTGGGGGTGCGGTGAGCTGGCCCCGGGTCCCTCCTGGCAGGCACAGTGAGGCTGTCAGAAGCCGGATAAAAATACTTCAAGTCAGGCTGCAGATGGAGGATGGCAGCGAAGGCTGAGGACTGAGTGGTTGTCAGGGGAAGGGAGAGGTGCTTTCTCTCTCCTGTTTATTTCCCTTCTGTTCTTCCTCTTCTTTTTTTTTTTTATTTCTAGAATCAAAAGAAAGGTGGGGGATTCTGGAAAAGCTCACATGTGTTCAGAACTCTAGAGAACATGGGGTGTGAGACATCTTTGCTTCCAGGTCACTGCCTTTCCCAACCTCAAGCAGCTCCGGCCCTTCCTTTCTAGGGGTGCTTTGAAGAGAGACCAGTAGGGGACACAGAAAAGGGGGCTCCTGGAGGAGCTTTGTGGGCGATCCTTTTCTGTGCCCTGTGACCGATCACCTTTCACCTGAGTGGCTCAACCTTGCCAGGGCCTCTGGTTGCGGTGTCATGATTCTGGCAGAGCTAGGGTGCCACACATGGCCTTGAGATGGACCAGGCCCAGGCATGAGGACCAGTGGCCCCTCTTGCTCCCTCTGGCAGGGTGGAGGTGCTTCTGACACGGTAGCTCCACCCCCAGAATGGAACCCTGGAAGCTGCCAGGCCCTACGGGGCTTAGGCTGAAATGCTGAGCATCACGTTGGCGGATCCCCAGCGGTAAAACAAGCGCCCTGGCCACTGTCCCAGTAAGGACAGGGGCGACCCAAGGGAGTGGTGCACGAAGGTTTGGTTCGGTGGGACCACCATGAGCAGCTCTCCAGCTGCCCACCAAGTGGAGGAGGAGGAAGGAGGCTCAGGCCAAGCCATGCAGGACCTTTGTGTCCTAATGGTAGGGCTCTTAACCAAAGAACGGCCCCTTCCTTGGCTTGGCCATGTCTCAGTTGCCTGACTGCTCCTGGCATTGGAGCTCACTGTGCCCGGCCTTCGTCTGCCCAGCTTCCCCCATCCCTCCCCCCCAATGCTGCTCTGTCCTTAAGTGGACAGCAAGGACCCGTCCTCAGTGGAGCAATCCTCTTCCCATCCAGTGCCCGCCGTGGACACACATTTCCATCTTTCCCTGCTCCCCTCCAGCCCGGGCCTCTCCAGCCCGCCATCACCCCCGGACACCAGCTGCCTTCGTCACCTGCCTGCGAGGCACCGCTCCATGCCTCGCCGTCCATGGCTACCTCCTGTCTAATTTCCTTCCTCATTCACCTCATCTCCTGCATCTGAGCAGCCGCCCCTTTGGGCCTAGGATCTGAGCCTGGAGCAGTAGTGAATGCTTGTCAAGGTGAACCGGGCAGGCTGGTACTGGGCAGGCGGCACAGATGGCCACTACAGTGGCAGCACCTCCCAACTAGGGCCCTAGGGTAGTGCCAACAATAGCCACTCTGGTCTCTTGCCAGGAGGCCATATGCAAGAAGCCGCCGATTGGCTGTGAGGGAGCATCTGTTGCAGGGAGGAGAGAGATAGCTGGAATGTGGGGAGGGGCTGTTATTTTGGAGAGGGTCCTCTGACTCCGCAGAGGTGCTTACCACCCGGGGCCCCTCCTTTCTTTGTGTCAGCCCAGAGGTGACAGGTAACATGGGAAGGGATTATGTGGCTTTTCTGCTTCCAAAGACAGAAGGGGAGAGAAACATGGCCATGAAGGGCATGAGAAATGGCATTCTTTATTCATAAATAAAAACAAAATTTCCAGAAATAGTTTACATAGCCAAAAAATGACATCGAAAAAATAACATAAAATAAAGCTGTCAAGAGCAAAGCAAACCAAACCAGCAACAACAAAAAGTAACTATGTACACAGCCTACCAAATGTCAGTCTGTCTCAAGCCAACCTCCAGAGGAGCAAGTGGACAGGCCGGGACAGCGGGCTCCACCTGGGGGCGCTGGGGGCTCCTGTGGGGCAGGGATGGGTAGGGGAGTGTAGGCCACAGGGCCTAGACCACAGGGCCATGGCCCACACTGGCTTCTCCTTGACAACTCTCTGGCCTGGGAGAAGACCTGGGCTAGGACCAGGGACAACTGGTAAGACTCAGGGGAGATGCTATGCTTCTCAATTCCCACCAGATCTCAGGTGCCTTGTGGGTGTGTCTGGCCACTAAAGACGGTCCCGTCCTTAGTGATGCTCTTTCTGCAGAGCTCAAGCTTGCGCAAGCCCAGCATCTTTTGGGTAGAGGGAGGCGTGTGGTGTGAGTGCACCTGGGTCTGGCCTGCCCAGTGTTGGCTCAGCCTCTGTTGTTCTCAGCCCTCCTCGGGACAGGCCAGGTTTGGCCTGGACCATGGAGCATGAGGGTGCTTTTCTAAAGGAAGGCGGGGTGGCTGGGTGACAGCACATTTGTATTCTAAGGCTACCCTGGGGCCTTGGGCTGGTGGCAGCTCAGGCTCAGGAGGGGTGTCTGCCATCTTGGGTGTTGGGCAAGGTCTGGGTGAGTGTCTGAGAGAGCCTGGAGAGCTGTGGGAGACATACCACACAACAGTGGGCTGAAGACTTTGCCCCTGAGCCAGGCATGGGAATGATGTAGGCCCCACCTCTTCCAAGCAACATCTTACAGACAAAGAAGGGAGTTTCTGGAGGTTCTGGGCAGGGATGGGAGGCTGGTGAGGGGGTGGGGGGAAGGCTCTTCAGCCTGGAGAGGAGCAGCTAACATAGTTCTCCATCTCTTCAGGACAATCTCACTGGGAGGAAGAAGGGACTGAGAAAGGAGACCATTCTTCAGGCAGGGAGGGACTTCCGGGCTGTCCAGCCCAGGTTTAAATCTGGTCTCTGACTCAGAGCACTGGTTTGGAATTCCAGAGGACATCCTGTCATTGGAGGACAGCAGGAGAGGTGCAGCCTGACCTCAGGAATGGAAGGCACCACCGCAGGGCAGATGCCCTTCCTGCCCTCGCTGAGGACGCGCTGGTGAGCAGCTCCTGCGCGCCCCCTGGGCTCTCTAAGGGCCTGTCAGGGAGACAGAACGGGATGGGGGGATGGCTGCCACACATTCCCGTCTGTGCCCGGGGGGGGGGCGGGGGGGCTCTCAGCAGGGAGACACGGTGCAGGAATCCAGCAAGAGCTGGATCCCTACCCACAGCAGCTGTGGTGAGAGTCAGAAATAGAACACGGAGCCTGGCTGCCTGCTCCATCTGGCCTGTCTCTGAAAAGACAAGGTGTATGTGGGGGGGTGGGAAGGGGGGAGAGAAGAAAGAAAAAGAAGAAGAAAAAGTAGAAGTGGGGGAACCCAGATAATTCCTTGAACCGAACAACTTAGGCAACTCCACTTTTGTCTCTCTGCCCAGGCTCTGGACATCTTCAAAAGAGAAAGCCCAGCCTCCCCAAGCAGGCACTGACCCCCTCCCCCGCTCGCTTTGGCTGCTACTCTCCCTAGGCTCCTTGTGGATGGAGGGCAGCAGGTGGTCTGGGCTGTTCACAGCCCCGTGTGGTACAATGAGCCTCCACCTCCTGTCCCTGGTCTGAGCTCTGGCCCGCTGCCCTTCTAGGACTGGTCCCAAAAATCCAAGACTTAGCCCTGAAGATGCTCAGGGGAACAGATGCCAATGAAATGGCCACAGGCAGGGAGGGAAATGCCCGATCTGAGTGGACAGGCTAGACTGAGTCCAAGCAAGAGTTTTTTTGCTTGGGAAGGAAAAAATAAACCCCCCCAACCAAAAAAAAATTTCCACAGCCGCTGCTGGTCAGCTCTGAGCCGGAAGGGATATTCCTGCATCCATCCCAGCTACCAAAGATCAGGAGGCTCCCCTGGGACCACTGGAGAACCAAGCCCTTTATGGGTCCCCACCTCCACCCCATCCCAGTGCCTCATCGTCTATGGCTTTAAGAAGTGTGTGTGGGGGGGGTCACTGAACTCAAAGGCCGCGGGCTATTGAGAGGCTGGGCAACTCCAGTGGGAGTCCCACAGTTCTCACACGCGGTGCCCCCTCTGCCCTCTGTGGGTCTTGGGGAGCATCAGCGTCTCCCTCACCCCTCCCCACCCCCACTCCTGAGGCTTCTCACCCTAATCCCCACACAGCTCGGGGTACAGCGGTGAGGACAGACTCCAAGGCTTCTGGTTAGAAATGGCTTCTTTCTATTCCCAAGGCATCCTGCGGTGTGTCCAGGGATCAGGGACAAGGCCATGGCCCCTGGACCCCTGCACAGCATCACCCCCTTTCCCTAGGGGAGAATCCCTCACTATTTTGAGTGAAGATCAAGGTCTGGAGCACCCCGAAGCAGTTCACAGATTCCCCTAGCTCCATTTCTGGAAGAACTGGGCCGTCTGAGCTGGAGGCTGGTGTGCTGCGGGGTGGAAGCAGGGGAGAGGGGAAGAAAGGCCCAGTTGTGACCCCCGGTGGCTTTTGGCCCAGGTGGTGGCTTCCACACAGGGGCTTGAGTTGCTGAGCAGGAGAAAAGGGGGTGGGGGAGAGGGATCCCTTCTTAAACAGGCTCGGATCCCCTCTCCCCACCCACCACGTCCCATCTTCAGCTTCCCTCTCCCAGACAGCCCTGTCAGATCTCGGTGGCGATGATGTCCTCGTAAGGGATGTCAGCCCCTTCCAGGTCAATCTCAAATGGCTCCCCTACCCCGTCCCCGCGGGCCAGCTGCCGCAGGGCCTTCTCCAGGCGCTGGTTGCGCTGGTACATCGCCAAGTAGCTCTGTTGCAGCTGTTTCTGGTACTGGATCACCTTCTCCTTCTCCTCCTTCCACACCAGCCGTTCATGCTGGAAGCCGGAGGACATCTGGTCATGACCTTGCCGTTCCTCCTTCAGCTCGGCGCGCAGCCGCTCCAACTCCCGCTGCAGAGCAGGGATGTCCTCCGAGAAGGCAGGCCCGGCCACCAGGGGCCCCAGCGCAGCGCTGTCCCGCTGCAGGGCGGCCTGGGCCCGCAGCTCCAGCAGCTCCTGCTCTAGCAGGTTCACCTTCTCTCGGAGCAGCTCTGCCTCGTTCTTCTTGCGCTGGAGCTCGTTCTCACAGACCTCCAGTTCCAGGCCCTTGGTGCGCAGGGCGCTCTCCAAGTCCTGCGTCTTCAGTTCCATGCCTTCCAGCTTGGCCCGGGTGTCCTTCAGCTGCACCTTCAGATTGAGGATTTCGCTGGCCTTGGCGTTCACCTCCGTCTGGGACTCCTTGAGCTGCTGCTTGAGGAGAGAGATCTCGCCTGACTTCTGACACACCTGCCAAGAGTGGGAGTAAGAGAGAGGACCAGAGGTGAATGCCCAGACATGGCAGCCTGGACAACCTGGGAGGGTTCAGCCTCTTGTTGAGGCTTTTTTTTTTTTTTTTGGTGCTGGTTCTGGAGCTTGAACTCAGAGTCTGAGCACTGTCCTGGAGCTTTTTTTGCTCAAGGCTAGTGTTAGTGTTCTACCACTTCAGCCACAGCTCTACTTCAGGCGTGTGCATGTGTGTGTGCATGTGTGTGTCTGTGCGTGTGTGTGTGTGTGTGTGTGTGTGATTAATTGGAAAGAAGAGTCTTTCTGCCCTGGCTGGTTTCAGACCACAATCCTCAGGTCTCAGCCTGCTGAATAGCTCGGATAACAGGTGTGAGCCACAGGTGCCTGGCATGAAGCTCTTTTTATTCTCACAGGCATTGTGGGATATCCGTGTGCCTCGTCTCTTCCTTAATCAGAGTCCAAATCTCGGTTTGTACCCAAATCCATGGCTACGTGCAGCTTAGTGATGATGGCTTGCTTCTAACCACTGCTCGCAGCTCCATAGCCTGTCTTTAATACCAAGGGTGCTGGCTTCTGGGACCACACCTCTGTCCTCACCCCTGCAATACCAGCTCCTCTCTCTTCCCTGGTGAATAAGCCTATCTCATGCTGTCCTGCTAGACCCCAGTGACTACTGCAGCCTGGCTCACAGGCAGTGCCCAGTTTACACCTGCCAAGTGACAACATCTTGCCTTCCTCCTTGACCTGCTCCTCTACCACTTCCATACCAACTTGACTCACATACAGGCCATGAGAAACAATGCACACTGAAGCCACTGAATCAGAACATCTGCCTCTGGAGTCTTGGCCATTGGCATCATGATTGGCTCAAAAGACGACCAAAGGGCTGGCGACATGGCTGGGCTGAGAGTGTGGCACACAGTGGAAAAGCATTTGCTTTTTTCTGAAGAGAAGGGGGAGAAGGGAGAAGGAACAAGGAAAAGAGGAAGAGGAAGAGACCAAGGCAGTCTGATTGGCTGGGTTTCAAGAGTGAAAGAAGGCCAAGGCTTGGGTTCTGCAGAACGGGATTGAACCAGCCTGGAGGCCATGCACACATTTCCTCCCTTTTCCTCTTCCACTAAAAGCTCCTCTTTGCTTTCAATGCAACACTGAACAGTCTAGGGAAGACTCAGCCTACCCACTATGCAAGTCAAGAACTTCTTCTCAAGGCCAAGTACTGAAATTTTCATCTTGAGTCTCTAAAGGCCTAATCCCCAGTGAGTCATTACCAGGAGGCAGTAGAACCTTTAAGAAATGAGACCTCGTGGGAAGTCTCTAGGTCATTGGCAATGTGCTCTGGAAGGGGACAGAGGCCCTATCTTCACTCCAGCTCTAGCTTCCAAGAGATAAGCAGTTTTACTTAACCATGTACTCCCACCAAGATACGCAGCCCTGCCACCAAAGTGATGGAGCCTATCAATCTCGGACGGAAACCTCCCAAGCTGTATTGTAGTCAAAACATTCCCTCTTGCTGGGTGCTGGTGGCTCATGCCTATAATCCTAATTATTTAGAAGGCTGAGATCTGAGGATTGCAGTTCAAAAACAGCCTAGACAGGAAAGCCCAAAAGACTTCAATTAACCCCCTGTGACTCAAGTGATAGAGCAGTAGGCTTGCGGAGAAAAGCTCAGGGATAGTTCCTAGGCCCTGAGTTCAAGCCTCAGAACTGGTACCAAGTAGAAGCTCACCAAGTAGAAGCTGCTTTTACACTTCTGCAAGGAGGGGCCGATGTCATCATTGAGATAAAATGCTCACTGGGTCACTCTTACAAGTAGTGGGCTCCCTTCCCTCGAAAGCAACCAATAAACCTATGCTCTCTGGAGTCCCTTGGCCTAATCTTGAACCCAAGATTAGCTATGCTTTTCTTTGTGTCTCGACTGAGCAAATGAATGTAGGTCAGTCCTCAGTCTGGCTGGGTTCTGGCTTCTCCATCAATGGCTTGGCCAGAAAACTCAATTCTGGGGACCATGAAGGTGATGATGGAGGAGAGGAGTTGTTCACCCAGAGCTGCGCATTCCCCACCCGTGTGTACTAAGGAGTCCCTTCCTTGGGCCTTCACCTCTGGTGTGCCTCAGCAGTATCTGTTGCTACCCTCTTGGCCCCCATCAGTGGACAGAGGAGAGATGGGCACCAAACATTGGGCCACCCCGTGCCCAGGGCGGGGCGCTGCCTTACCTCCCACTGGGTCTCCTCCAGGGCAGGGGCGAAGTTGGTCTTCTCCCGCTCGTAGGACCTGAGCTTGGTCTCCAGCAGGTCCTGCTCCTTCATGAGGCTCTCCAGCTCCTGCCGCAGCTGCCGCTTCTCCTGCTGCAGCTGGAGCACCTGCAGGTGGAGCACCTGCTGCGCGCGCTGGCTCTTCTGGGACGCTGGCTTCAGCTTGCTGCTGCTGCTCTTGGGCTCGGCGCCCTCCATCTCCTCCCTGTTCCGTCTGGGCCGCTCGTCGAAAGCCTGGCCGGAGGCAAAGTCCTTCTCATCAAAACTGCGCTGCAGCTTCTGCAGGGCGCCCTCCCTCTGCAGCAGCTTCTGCTCCAGCTCCTGGATGGTGCACTCGTCCGTGGAGAGGGGGGCACGCACGCAAGAGGAGCCCTTGTCGGCCTTGCCCGGGTGGGCTAGCTTGCTGCCGCCATCGGAGAACGACAGCGCCTTCAGACTCATCATGTTGGTGTCCTGCGGCACGATGCCCTGAGTGATGTTGTGGGCCGAGCCTCCAAAACGGCTCGTGGGCCCCACGGGGGTGACCAGGGGGTCCAGCTGGTAGCTGCTGGTGGTGCTGTGCGTGGGCAGGCTGGACATGGAGTTCCGGCCCGAGTCAGACAGGGCCCCCGAGCACAGGCCTGGCTTCAGCTCCTGCTCCTTAGGCTTGTCAGGAGGTGCGGGGTGCAGTTGGTGGCTGGCACTGTCTGGGGAGGAGTGGAGGATGGCTCCCGAGCGGGGCAGCACGGGCTTGAAGGCCGTGGGCCTCACCGCCCCCTTGTCTGATCCCTGGAGAGACAAAGGACCACATGGATCAGAGCGTCCCCTCCACACACATACCCCATTCTCCCTCCCTACCAGGTCCCTGGTTCCAGCCTCATGCGTACCCTCCTGGTCAGCAGCCATGGAGACTGACCGTGCTGCAGGTTCTGGAGGAGCTAGGTGCTGGGTATCCCTCTTAGGAGAGAGGAGTCTCTCTGTATCTCTGGAAGTGTCCTCAGTGGTCGCCTGGGAGCTGTGCTAACAGCCCCCAGCTCGTGGCAGCCCTTGTGAGGTTCATGGGCTGAGATGTCTCACCCTGATATCTGGTGCAGTCAGGATATTAGGTGTGTGTCTTTGTGTGTGTTCAGTCCTGTGTCCTCTCTGTGAAGTGGGAGACCACTTTGAAATACTACTTTCTGTAGGTGTGAACCAGTTGGTACTGAGCCCGGAGCCTTGAACTCGGAACCTGGATTCTGGGTCTTAGCTTTTTTGCTTAAGGCTAGGGTTCTCCCACTTGAGCCATACTTCCACTTCCAGCTTTTTTAGGGGGGGGGCATGTTTAACTGGAGATAATCTCACACACTTTCCTGCCCAGGCTGGCTTCAATCTGCCATCCGTCCTCAGCTCTCAGTCTCCTGAGTAGCTAGGATTCCAGGCAGGAGCACTGGTGCCTAGCTGACATTTCTTTTTTAAGCTTGCGATTTCTACTACTGGAACACCTTGCACTTTATAAATCCTTTGTTTGAAAACCTCACAGCAATATGCAAATAGGCGTTTTTCCTAGTCCACATTATCCTAATCTGAAAATCCCAAATTTATACTGGTCCAAAATCTTTCAAGTTTTGAATGCTGACAGGATGTACCGAGTAGAAAATTTCATATCATAATGTTTTGTGCACAAGTTCTTTTAAAATGTGTGAAACTGCTCTGCATACAGGAAACATAAATTCATGTTTAGACTTGGGTCCCATCCCCAAGGTATCAAATTATATACATGCAAATATTTCAAAATCTGGGGGGGGGGAAATCCCAAATCCCAAACACCTGTGGTTTCAGGTAGTTCAGATAAAGGGTGCTCAAGCTGTGTGTCAAACCCAGGGGCTCATTCCCATAAGAGAGGGACAAGGAAAGCTTTTGGTGTCCACAGGGAAGATTCAGGAGTCCTTGAGCTGAACTGGGGGTCAGTTTTCTGAATAGCCAGTTCTCACGGCTCACATCCTAGTTCACTTCATAATGAGAACAAAATCCCAGCACTTATTCAGCTGAAGTGAAAAAGGAAAAAAAAACTAAACAAAAACAAAACAAAAAACACCTTCAGGCTGGGATTGAGCCAAGATCTACTCTGCCCAGGATGCAAATGAGAGAGCTCCCCTCCAAAGGCTGAGAGGCTGCTAGAAAAAGAAGGAAATGTTCCCTCCCTCCCTCCGGCATCCTATCCTCCAGAGCCCTCCCCTTCCTGTCTTTGAACAAGCTGACCTTTGCTCTACCATCACCACCTAAGTACTTTCCAATAGAGTTCAGAAAGGCTTGCATTTCCTCCCTGTTCTTTGCTGCAGAGATGACTTTGCCATTTCTGGCTTTGGGGACTGACTGGCCACAGCTCTCATTTCTTTTTACTTTGTCTTCTTTATTTTGTGTGGTGTGTGGTGTATGATGTGGTGTGGTGTGTGTGTGTGTGTGTGTGTGTGTGTGTGTCTGTGTGTGTCTGTGTGTGTTGGTACTGGGGATTGAACTCAAGGCCTCAAGCGTTCATTGCTTTTTTTTTTTTGCACGTGAGCCACACCTCCACGTCTGGCTTTTTGCTGGTTAATTGGAGATAAAAGACTCATTCACTTTTCTGCTTCAAACTTCGATCCTCAGATCTCAGCCTCCACAGTAGCTAGGATTATAGACGTGAACCGCCAGCCCCAAGCTTGCTTTCCTTTCTTGCCCACCCTTTATCTCTGCAGTGTGGCCAAACACTGGGGCTCTGCCTCTTGGCAATGTAAACTTGGGGTCACCGAGCGCTCCCTCCTTTCTGCTGTCCCCCACTTCCCTTTCCCATCCTGCTCACCGTTTCCAGCTGACCGGAGAAGGGCATGAGCTTGGGTGGCGTGGATGGGTCAAAGTCCACCCCAGCCTGGCCCCCGAGGTCGCCGCTGGACAGTGCCGTGTAGTCCGGGCGATGGGTGCCCCGGGCCTTCTGGCTGACCTTGATGTAAAAGAAGTCTTCGCTCTTGCCCATTTTGGAGCTGGACTTGCCATGGCCGGAGTCCTGGGAGAAGCCAAATCTTAGCAGCCCGTCTGAATACCGGTTGAGCTTCTTGAGCTGGGAGGACTTGCGGAGCTTGTACTGTGAGGCCCTGCAGTGCTTGCTGTGGAAGCTGTGGCCAGAGATGAGGCTGCTGACGCTGCCCATGGTGACTCCCAGCAAAGGCAATGTGGAGGGGTGGGGGACGGGGGTGGCCTGGTATGGCTGTAGCAGCAAAAGGCAATCCTAGCTCCCAGAGGGGGCTGTGGTCATTGCACAGTCCTCGCCGAGACCAGGCCGGCCATGGACCTGGAAGGAAACACATGGGAGTTACTGAACTGTCTGTGCGGGTGACTTCAGGTATTATTCTGACCGGGAAACCTGGATGCTACAGAAATGGATGTCAGAGGTCAGCGTCATCTCTGCACCCGACCTCCATCCATTTTCTGTCACTAAGAGCCAAGTGCAATTTTCAACCCTGGGCCTCTGGCCATGGCTGAACCACTGTCCTCCCAGGACCTGTGTGTAGGGTAGTGCCGCCCCAATCCATGCTGCACAGGGAATTCACCTAGGGACAGCCTTCTGGAAAGGGCTGAGGCTTGGAATTACGTTGGAAACTTAATCCCCCCCAAAGTCATGTGTTGATGGCATTTGGGAGCTGGACTTGGGGAATGAATTAGGGTTAGGTGAGGGCATGAAGGACAGACCCTCAGGATGGCATTAGTGGCTTTGTAAGGAGAGAAAGAGACAAACACTAGCTGATGCCCACTGCTGTCCTGCACTGCCTCAGGACTGGAAAATAGCCACCGGCAAGAATGTCTGCAGTAGCTGTGGCTGCCTGGCCTTAAATGGTCCTGCATTCAGAACCATGAGCCAATAAAGCCCATAGAAAATCCCCTTTGAATACCCTTCAAGAGTTCCCATAGTTCTTAGAGGAAGACGTACTTCTCTCTACATCCTGAAGACCACAAACAGGGCACGATTCTACCTCACAGATCTCACATTATCATCCTTTGCTCACATCCACAACCGTAGCCACATTTACCTCTCATTGTGGTGCACAGAAGCCATTTCCTAGCTAGACCCTGGGCACCTGCTCTTGCCCCGTCTACAATTGTTTTTCAGCCCTTCATTTAGACCTTGCGTGTAAGGATACTGCTGAAATAGTCAAGCTCTCCTCTATAACTTTCTCTTACACCAACCTGTTTATTTCCTACAGAGTATTTGCACTTTTATTGTGTACTGTGGACATATCTGCCAGAATAAACCCTGCGAGAGTAGACTTTGTATCTAGACCTCTCACAAGAAGAAGAAGGAAACTACAACTCAGGGGGTGAGACATGTTAGCCTCAGCCACTCAGCTAGCCAGGCACCAACAGGGGCTTTAAGCCTAGCTCTCATGCCACACCATTGGTACAGCATGCCTCTATTAACTGTACAGCTCCAGAGACACTACTGGGGACTGTAGAGTAAGGGATGGACAGTTGCCTGTCTCAGAAAGCAAAGCCAAGTCTCCAGGATCAGAGGAGAAAAAGTTTAGAGAAGGAATAATGTCTATTGCCTTTAGATATATATTCCTTTCCTTTGTGGGCAAATACCAGCAAGGTTTTAGGTTCATGTTCCCTTCCTTCCTTCCTTCGTTCCTTCGTTCCTTCGTTCCTTCTTTCCTTCCTTCCTTCCTTCCTTCCTGCCTGCCTGCCTGCCTGCCTGCCTGCCTGCCTGCCTGCCTGCCTGCCTGCCTGCCTGCCTGGCTTCCTGCCTTCCTTTATTTTTTGTCATGGGGCTTGATCGCTGGGCCTGGGTGCTGTCCCTCAGCTCTTCAGCTCAAGGCAAGTACTCTACCACTTGAGCCACAATGCCACTTCTGGTTTTCCCATGGTTAATTGGAGATAAGAGTCTCATGGACTTTCCTGCAGGGTTGGCTTTGAACCACAGTCCTCAGATCTCAACCTCCTGAGTAGCTAGGATTACAGGTGCGAGCCACTGGCACCTGGCTCCATTTCTTTTACAAAGGAAAAGAGCTGCCAAAGGATGTCCACCCCTGGTCCTGTCTCTTAGTCCAGATACCCTGTCTGTCACCTCCAGGTCGCCATACAAGAGGAACTAACTGTAAGGCTTGAGGTTACTCCCAGTTCCACTTAAAGCTAAATTCACTGTCTTGAAGTGCACAGGTTCATTCAAACACCAACATGGACAGAGTATCACAGAAGATTCTGCCCAGTCCCAAACCAAAGTCTCCCCTCCCTCCAATAAGGACAGAGAAGGGACATAGTTTAATTCCAAGGAAGCAAATCCTGAAAGAAGGAAGACAGGAGGAGGAAAACATACACTGAGAATAACATGGCAGCCTTGTCGGCCTCCAGTTCTACTGGCCTCACTGTGGAGATCAATTAGAACTGACTACCATCTGAAGAGACTCAGAGAAAAGGAACCCAAAGCCCAGGGTAGACTCGCAATCCTGACTTAACCACAACAGCAGCAGCAGTGGTTAGCCCGCCCCCTCCCGTCCCACCCATCCTCCCAGCCCTAACCAATGGTGTCCAGCACCTCAGGGTGAAGCAGCTAGCCAAATCCAGGTTTCTGCCTGAGAAGCTAAGGGCCTATGCCTATGTTCTTTCCCCTCCTCCTCCTTCCCCATTCCTCCATGCTATTAGAGAGGTCACTCCCAAGCTCAGAATACACAGGTTCCAACATCCCATCTCTCCCTCCTTCCTCAGCCTTGGTTTTGATCCCTCCTTCCCTTCTTCTCTCCTTTCCTTTTTTCTCATTCCATAAGGACAGGCTGTGGCCTCAGGGAAGTCTTGCTGTGCTGACTTCCTGCTCCACCCAAGTGCTGCCACAGCCAAGTGCCCAGCCACTCTCCAAACCCACAGAGCCAGGTGAGTCCTCAATGACTGTGCCCCAGAGGGCTGCTGTCAAAGGGGAGGGGGTGGGGGGAAGGGAGGGAGGCCAGAGCAGAGCCTATGATACTGTGGTATCAGAGTTCATGTGGCCACGAATTCACTATCTGCCCTAGGCCAAGCACTGTGCCAGTGCGGAGGACACAGTGATGGGGTGGGGAGCAGGAAGGAAGTAGAGGGACAAACATGGACATGTGTGAGCCTGTGTGTGTGCATGTATGTGCACCAGTGCGTGCATGTGTTTAGGACTGTGCATCCCTGACATGCACGTCTCAGGGTGCATGTGTGACTATGAGTATGAGGTGTGTGTCTACTATGTAAGGTGATGAAAATCAAGAAGCCAGCCTGTCTGTGTGTATACGCACACATCAAGAGTCACAGCAAGTACAAGGGCCTTGCAACAGGAAGAGGCTTAGCTTGGTGTTTGACAGCAGCAGTTCTTGAGTGAGGGGAGACTGAAACAATACCTGAGGGCAAAATGCTGGTGACAGTCCTGTCTGGGGGTATCGCTGGCATCCAGAGGGTATAGGCCAGAGCTAATCATCCTCCAGCACACAGACAGGATGGCCCAGGATAACTACTCACCTGCCCTAGTCTGAAAAACCTGGTTTTAGAAAAAGAGTGAGTCCAGACCTTTGGTTCTGCCACTGATTCAAGGTGACTGTGGGGTAGTGGCCTAACGCTCCGTGCCTCAGTTTCCCCTCTTATAATAGGAAGGAAACCATGCCACCCTGCCACACAATTCCATGATGAGGATGAAGAGAAGGGAGAGCGGCGCTGGGCTGGCTCCTGTTGGGATCCTTTCTCATGGCTCCTTTCAGTTCTCTGAAAGCGGAGGCTCCAAGAAGCACCCAGAGCCGTGGGCCACCACCTGATCTTGGAAGTAGGCAGAGACAGGGGTGCAGGAGATGACTCCTGCGGTGGGGAAGAGCTCTGAATCCTCTCTGGGCTCTGTTTCCACACATAACACGAGGCTGGATTCACTTCAGCTTTTGTGTGTTTGAGACTCCTTGAGACTGTAATGTGCGCTCTCAATCCCCTCTGTGGAAAGATGACATTTCCTCCACCATTCCAGACGTGACATCCGTCCTCGATGCCCACCTGCCCCTCCACTGAGCCAGTTTGCAAACAGGAGTAGATCCCCAGGGAAGGATCCAATGTGAACTCTGGGGAAGGATGAAGAACTGGGTCTTCAATTACTGACTTGACTTACCGACATCAGTGGGAACCCAAAACCAGGTGTGGCAGAGCATGCCTGTCATCCCAGCTCACGCCATCCTGAGCAACAAGCCCAAAGAGGAAATGTGGGGAAGGGCCCCTAGTAATCAGATTAGCAGATGAACGCAGGGTACCACTCCTCATCTTGGCTCCCCTACTGCCTGGAAATCCACTGTTACACCTTGCTTGGGTACTAGCCCCCAGACAAATTAAAGACCAATGGAACATAATAAAAGACCCAAGACCCAGATAGTTTAATTAAATAACCACAGAGCTACAGCCACCAAATTTTTGAACAAGGAGTCAAAAACATACACTGGAGAAGAGATACAACCTCTTCAACATGTATGGCTGGGGAAATTGAAAAAATTGAAACTGGACTGCTATATCTCACCCTGTACAAAAATCAACTCCAAATGAATTGAAAAAATCTAAATGTATGATCTAAAACTACTACAAGAAAATATAAGGAAGACAGGTGCTGGTAGCTCATGCCTGTAATCCTAGCTACTCACAAGGCTGTGATCTGAGGATCACAGTGCAAAGCCAGCCCAGGAAGGGAAGTCTATGGAATTCATATCTCTAAATAAACACATACAGACAAAAAGCTGGAAGTGGAGCTGTGGCTCAGGTGGCAGAGTGCTGGTCTGAAGCACAAAAGCTTAGGGACAGTGCCCAGGCCCTGAGTTCAAGCCCCAGAACCAGCACAAAAAATCAAAACATATGGAAAACTCTAGAAGATATAAGGTAACTTTTTTCTGAATAGGATTTCAAGTGCTCAGAAAATAAGAGCAAAAATTGATAAATGGGACTGTGCCAAATTATAATATTTCTGCACATCAAAAGAAACAATGACCAGAATCAGGAGACAACCCACAGAAGGGGAGAACATTTTGCCAGCTATTCAGTGGATAAAAGATGAATATCTAGAATACACAAAGAGCTTTAAAAAAAAAAGGGCCTGAATATTAAATAGCAAAAGAACAAATAACCCAATTAAGAAATGCAAATCCAAACCTCACTAAGATTCCACTCACTCCAGTCAAGATGATAATCACCAAG